TATTTTTAGTAGAGACGAGGTTTCACTGTGTTAGCCAGGATGGTCTTGATCTCCTGACCTCGTGATCTGCCACCTTGGCCTCCCAAAGTGCTGGGATTACAGGTGTGAGACACTGCACCTGGCCTGAATATATGTTTTCCTTATATAAGAAAAACACTTCTGTTATTTGAAGGTAATTTTTGGAAAGATTTATAATTGTGTATTTTTTCAGTTTTTCTTTTAAAAAACTAATTCTTGTAAAAACACATAACATAAAATTTGCTATCTTAAATCTATTTTATGTTTCAGGGCCAGGTATGGTGGGGGCTCACATCTGTAATCCCAGGATTTTGAAAGGCCAAAACAGAAAGATCACTTGAACCCAAATGTTTGAGACCACCCTGGGCAACCTATGAAACCCTCTCTACAAATAATTTTTAATAATAGTCAGGCATGGTGGTGTGCACCTATGGTCCCAGCTACTAGAGAGATTGAGAGGGGAGGATAACTTGAGCCTTAGAGTTTGATGTTGCATTGAGCCAAAATTGTGTACTCCAACTTGGATGACAGAGTGAGACCCTGTCGCAAAAAAGAATTTTTAAAAAGCTGTACGTTTCAGACATGTAAAGTATATTCACATTGTTATGTTAAAAACTTGTAGAAATTTTATATTTTGTAAAACTGAAACTCAATACCCATTAAGTAACAACTGTTCATTTTACTCTCTTTGGCCCTTGACAAACACCCTTCAACTTCCTGTTTTGATCAGTGTGACTACTATCTCATATAAGTGGAATCATATAGTATCCATCATTTTGTCACTGGCTTATTTCAGGAGACAATATTCTCAAAGTTTATCTTAAAATGTGACACGATTTTCTTTTTAAGGCTTAATAATATTCCACTGTATGTATGTGTTACATTTTTTGATGTCTTCAAGGAACATCTGGGTTGCTTCAGCCTTTTGGGTTTTGTGAATAGTGGTACAACAAACATGAAAGTTCAGATATGTCTTTCAGGTCCTGTGTTGCATGTTTTGGATACAGATTCATAAATGGGATTGTTGTATGTGATGATTAT